ACACTGATCATACAGGGTCACCACAGCCTAGAGAGAAAATATAATACACTGATCATACAGGGTCACCACAGCCTAGACAGAAAATATAATACACTGATCATACAGGGTCAACACAGCCTAGACAGAAAATATAATACACTGATCATACAGGGTCAACACAGCCTAACCAGAAAATATAATACACTGATCATACAGGGTCAACACAGCCTAGACAGAAAATATAATACACTGATCATACAGGGTCACCACAGCCTAGACAGAAAATATAATACACTGATCACACAGGGTCAACATAGCCTAGACAGAAAATATAATACACTGATCAAACAGGGTCACCACAGCCTAGACAGAAAATATAATACACTGATCATACAGGGTCAACACAGCCTAGACAGAAAATATAATACACTGATCATACAGGATCACCGCAGCCTAGACAGAAAATATAATACACTGATCATACAGGGTCAACACAGCCTAGACAGAAAATATAATACACTGATCACACAGGGTCAACACAGCCTAGACAGAAAATATAATACACTGATCATACAGGGTCACCACAGCCTAGAGAGAAAATATAATACACTGATCATACAGGGTCACCACAGCCTAGACAGAAAATATAATACACTGATCATACAGGGTCAACACAGCCTAGACAGAAAATATAATACACTGATCATACAGGGTCAACACAGCCTAGACAAAAAATATAATACACTGATCATACAGGATCACTGCAGCCTAGACAGAAAATATAATACACTGATCACACAGGATCAACACAGCCTATAGACAGAAAATATAATACACTGATCACACAGGGTCACCACAGCCTAGACAAAAAATATAATACACTGATCATACAGGGTCAACACAGCCTAGACAGAAAATATAATACACTGATCACACAGGGTCAACACAGCCTAGACAGAAAATATAATACACTGATCACACAGGGTCACCACAGCCTAGACAGAAAATATAATACACTGATCACACAGGGTCACCACAGCCTAGACAGAAAATATAATACACTGATCACACAGGGTCAACACAGCCTAGACAAAAAATATAATACACTGATCACACAGGGTCACCACAGCCTAGACAAAAAATATAATACACTGATCATACAGGGTCAACACAGCCTAGACAGAAAATATAATACACTGATCATACAGGGTCAACACAGCCTAGACAGAAAATATAATACACTGATTATACAGGGTCACCACAGCCTAGACAGACATTATAAAACACTGATCACTTAGGGTCACCACAGCCTAGACAGAAAATATAATACACTGATCACACAGGGTCACCACAGCCTAGACAGAAAATATAATACACTGATCATACAGGGTCAACATAGCCTAGACAGAAAATATAATACACTGATTATACAGGGTCAACACAGCCTAGACAGAAAATAAATTACATTGATTAGAGATTAGAGATACTCCACCTTACTGGCACTAACATACCGCAGCCTAGACAATTATCATTAATTGATTAATTGCTACACTGTATAATGTTAATTTTGTGGCCAATGAATTTTTGTCTTGCTAGATGTCTCTGAAAACATTTACATTCAAACCTTGTTTTCTCCAACTGGATTGATTAAAAATGTTAAAGAACTAAAGGATTTGAGGTACAAGGCTGAAAAATTCAGAAGAATAAGTGGTTGGAGATTTTGATATATTGAAATGAGTAATATATTGGCATTCAAGGTATTGAAGTTCTACTGTATTTTGTAAATACATTAAAAGAAGTCTTTTCTCTGCTGTGAGGGAGGATTCAGTATTTTATTTCGCACAAAATAAAAATCAGACATCTTGGAAAAAGTTTTTTTAAGCAGCATTAATAGTAAGTTGACAAACAGATTCTTACCACAACTACTCCCAAGCCCTACCTACCTGTTCCATCTTTTCGAACACCTCAGGTTTGGCTATAGAGGCGGGTGCCTCCTCGATGATCTTCTGATGTCTCCTCTGGATGGAGAAGTCCCTCCCAAACAGATAGATGGTGCTACTGTAGTTATCGGCCAGGATCTGAACCTCGGGGTGACGAGTGTGGGTGGCCAGCTTCATGATGAAGATGGGGGATCCCGGAACCTCAGCCTGCACCTATATATAGAACACAGGATTCCTCTTTTCTTTTAGATCCATCAAAATTAGAGAACTTGTTGATAAAAGCTTAGAATTGAAACTCAATCGTAAAAATTCTGTTGGAAAGCAAAATGAGTGTATTTCTTTATAAGCAAATTTAACACTGATTTCAATTTGGCATTATCAACAAGGGATCTGAGGTGGCTAAAATTGAATATCCATTCCTTTCTAGATGTTATCACTATCTCTCTTTACATTATAAAACTGCTAAAACCACCTCTCACTTAAAACATAATTTCACCATTTTTTTTTTTGGAAAAATCTCTATGAATTTGCATCTCACTACAATTTCTATAATAAGGTTTCTCTCTTTATTCTTCACTTGCTTAAGTCTTCTTGCCATTCTTTATGCCCTAACACAATAAATACAAAATAACTCTTTCTATTCCATACCTGTCTGAAGAGATTGGGGAAGTGGTCGGCTTTCTCTGCCTTCCTGATGCCCTTCCCTCCCCCTCCCTCTGAGGCCTTGATCATCACAGGAAACCCGATCTTATTGGCCGACTTCAGACCCTCGTCCACGTCGGTGACACACCCCTTCCTGTTGAGGTCCTGGGGCACACTCACTGGCTTATTGTCACTCTTAGAGTAGTTCAGGGTCAGGCCTGGAATGAAAATGGACTGTAAGTTTTCAATTTCTATGGCCTGGGGGAAAAGAGACTACATGTAGTTCATTGAGATTTTTGTGATTGAAGAGATGAATATGAACACGCTTTTGCTTCAATTATTCATGGTTTGTAAATGACATACGTTTTTTATACTGTCTTCAAAAAATGTTGTTTTTTTCATTAATTATTTATTTTTAATAAAATCATTAGTGAATACTGATAAATTTTATAACATACCTGATCCACTCCATGGCATGGTGGGACTTTAGCAGTCTGGGCTACAATAGAGGAGGCAATCTTGTCCCCCAGGGCCACATAGCTACCTCTGGTGGACCTGTTCCAAAAAACAATAGCAGATAACTGTACACCTTATGTGAAACAAGCTACACCAAGATAATGCCTCATACAGATATGACCTTTCACTGTATAGGTTAATAAAAAGAAGTATTTCTTTACAAAATATATTTTAAAATTATTTCTGCAAAATAGATAAAGTGTCTACAGACACTGATACCTAAGAGTGTGTCTTAAAATTGATTAACATTACCAATTAATATGATTCCGTTTTTATAAAGTAGTTCTGGTAACTTGGGATTCTCTGAAGCATGGCCCAGCCAGCCCAAACAGCCTGTAAAACAGAAAAGAGAGTATTTAGTTTACTGGTACATGTATTTACACAGCCAAATTATTATACAGAACAACAACATAAATCAACAATCTGAGTAAACTATAGTTAAAATGTCTTAATTAGTACCGTATATTTAATGAGATCTAGATTTATCATGTGCAGCACTCCCGGATCAAGACTCATCTTCTCTTAGGCCATCCGCCTGTGGAACACCCTGCTACACACAATAGCTGTCTTGCCAACCCTAGGGGCCTTCAAGGCAGGGATCCAGACACCCGAGTCAAGACGACCTTGGTTTTTAATTGTGAATACAGACTTTAAGTGTACAGTCCTTAGTCACTGTATGTACAGAAGTTCCACAATATTCAGTGTACAGTCCTTAGTCACTGTATGTACAGAAGTTCCACAATATTCAGTGTACAGTCCTTAGTCACTGTATGTACAGAAGTTAGACAATATTCAGTCAACAGAGGAATGAGCTTAAGAAGATTTTGTTATTCAGTCATTTATGTGTACCGGTAACATTCACATTAAAGACAGTCTGTGGTCCGGAAGTTTAAGGGTTACTTCACTGAGCCAGGTTCGAGAAAATTCGTTTTCAGCATCTGAGGCACTTAAATTCTAAAGATTTCATTCTTTTGTTCTGATCAAGAGAGTGATAAATCTAATGCATGGTAAAAATCTGGCTGCATTTATTGTGTATGGTGGATTTGCATGCTGGGTAGGGCAGTTATGTGTTAACTTCTGAATTTAAAAGATAACATTCACCATTCTAATGAAAGCTCTGAGGTTTCCAAATAAAGTTTTATGTTACTGTCTTCGTTTTTTTAAATCATTACACAAAAAATTCAGATATTTGTATTTCACTGCTTGTTGTATTAGTATTTCTTTTGCGTGTCAGTATAATATGAGATGAAATCATGTATCAAAGAACACTTCGTTGATAAGATAGACAGTAGCAACAACCAATCAATGTACAGGACTGTAACAACGGATTTAATTGGGTGAGGGACAGACGGACACCTTACTATCGCATAAGCTCATCTGGTCTTCAACCAGTAGAGCTAAAAATAAAGAAACAAAACATTTCAAACTCAAAACCTTTTTTTCAAGAGGATGATGGCAACAAAAAAAGTGATGCAGCCAATCAGAGCATCAAAATGAAAATTTCTATATCGAAAGATAAATGATATTCAGAAACACATAAGGGGTCAGCCCCCTTCTTCCACCACTGTATACTACCAGCCTTTATCTAATTTTAAAAGTTAAAAACTTCCCTCTTTATTATTTGTGTAGCTAAAATGAGATGGAAAAGACAAATGGTCTTTACATATCCTGTCTATATTAGTATAGATAGTTTAGATATCAGATAATATCCTATATCTCTAACCACCTGTTTTAAGTGAAGAAAAAAATAAACAATTAATTCCTACAACATTTTCTTCATTAACCATGAAAGGAAAACAAAAAAAAAAATATGCAATTACTGATATTTTTTTCTTTATTAAAATTCATCACATTACTATGTGAAGCAAAATTACTTTTACATTCAATTATTAAATTTGTGTTCAATGTACCAATTTGAAATTACATTTACTGAAATTCAATGCACACAAATGGACAATTTGTTCTACAGTCAATAAATTAATATTCAGAATATACACAACTTGGTTTAAAAGTGAGCACTATATATGATATTCATCATAGGTAGAGTAATAATAAATTAGTACTAATTAGTACAAAAATAATTACAAACCCTGGTAATGTTCACATATAATACTGAATTGAATTACAAAACGAATTCATAAACAATTCTAATAATTAAGTCATTATGAATGACAGATATGGATTTCATAAAATGCAATTTTATGCAAATTTGATCCAAATTGCACCTAATGATTTCATATGATTGTTAAATAGATATGTTTTTAAATACAATCACTGTTGATTCTAATTGTCCATTCTGGTCACGTGTCCATGTTGGCCAGAATTCTGGAGACCTCTGACCTTTGACTTGAGGTCATGTGTTGTGTGATGTGGACAATAGAATCCATAGCAACCTCTGGATTGTTTTGTATCAAACTGAAAACAATAAGAAAGTGTGTTAATTTTAAAGTAAGCTTAGAGCATTATTTTATCAATTAAAGGGAGACAATCTGAAAATCATATGTCAAAAACCTGATATTTTAGCTAAATTTAATTCACACTGAGAAGAATACAACTATCAGAATTTCTAGACTGTGCAACAAAGCAATAAATTAAGGTTAATTAAACTGATATTTAAATATTAGCATGTTAAGCCTTTCAGTCAGACAGTCTGGTTCCTAATATTGTTAGCATGCTGTTCTTCATCTCTACATGAAGAAATGAAATAATGCTATCAAACCCTACTTGAGCCATTACCTACCTCCTGACATGTTGTAGGACGTGCTCTCTCTGTAGACATCTGATACCTACCTCCTGACTTGTTGTAGGACATGCTCCCTCTGTAGACATCTGATACCTACCTCCTGACTTGTTGTAGGACATGCTCCCTCTGTAGACATCTGATACCTACCTCCTGACTTGTTGTAGGACATGCTCCCTCTGTAGACATCTGATGTTGTCTGATACCTACCTCCTGACTTGTTGTAGGACGTGCTCCCTCTGTAGACATCTGATACCTACCTCCTGACTTGTTGTAGGACTCTGTCTGATGCTCCCTCTGTAGACATCTGATGTTGTCTGATACCTACCTCCTGACTTGTTGTAGGACATGCTCCCTCTGTAGACATCTGATGTTGTCTGATACCTACCTCCTAACTTGTTGAAGGACGTGCTCCCTCTGTAGACATCTGATTCCTACCTACTGACTTGTTGTAGGACATGCTCCCTCTGTAGACATCTGATGTTGTCTGATACCTACCTCCTGACTTGTTGTAGGACATGCTCCCTCTGTAGACATCTGATACCTACCTCCTGACTTGTTGTAGGACATGCTCCCTCTGTAGACATCTGATACCTACCTCCTGACTTGTTGTAGGACATGCTGCTCCCTCTGTAGACATCTGATGTTGTCTGATACCTACCTCCTGACTTGTTGTAGGACATGCTCCCTCTGTAGACATCTGATATCTACCTCCTGACTTGTTGTAGGACATGCTCCCTCTGTAGACATCTGATACCTACCTCCTGACTTGTTGTAGGACGTGCTCCCTCTGTAGACATCTGATGTTGTCTGATACCTACCTCCTGACTTGTTGTAGGACATGCTCCCTCTGTAGACATCTGATGTTGTCTGATACCTACCTCCTGACATGTTGTAGGACATGCTCCCTCTGTAGACATCTGATACCTACCTCCTGACTTGTTGTAGGACATGCTCCCTCTGTAGACCTACCTTCTGACTTGTTGTAGGACGTACTCACTCTGTAGACATCTGATGTTGTCTGATACCTACCTCCTGACTTGTTGTAGAACGTGCTCCCTCTGTAGACATCTGATGTTGTCTGATACCTACCTCCTGACTTGTTGTAGGACATGCTCCCTCTGTAGACATCTGATACCTACCTCCTGACTTGTTGTAGGACATGCTCCCTCTGTAGACATCAGATACATACCTCAAGACTTGAAGACGGAGGTGCTCCTTCTGTAGACATCTGATGTTGTCTGATACCTACCTCCTGACTTGTTGTAGGACATGCTCCCTCTGTAGACATCTGATACCTACCTCCTGACTTGTTATAGGACGTGCTCTCTCTGTAGACATTTGATGTTGTCTGATACCTACCTCCTGACTTGTTGTAGGACATGCTCCCTCTGTAGACATCTGATGTTGTCTGATACCTACCTCCTGACTTGTTGTAGGACATGCTCCCTCTGTAGACATCTGATGTTGTCTGATACCTACCTCCTGACTTGTTGTAGGACATGCTCCCTCTGTAGACATCTCATGATATCTACCTCCTGACTTGTTGTAGGACGTGCTCCCTCTGTAGACATCTGATACCTACCTCCTGACTTGTTGTAGGATGTGCTCCCTCTGTAGACATCTGATACCTACCTCCTGACTTGTTGTAGGATGTGCTCCCTCTGTAGACATCTGATACCTACCTCCTGACTTGTTGTAGGACATGCTCCCTCTGTAGACATCTGATACCTACCTCCTGACTTGTTGTAGAACGTGCTCCCTCTGTAGACATCTGATGTTGTCTGATACAGCATTGTCTATACTGTCCTCACGGATTTGTTCTGTCAACCACTCCACCATAGCTTTGTCATCCTCCCATAGATAGGCCTACAATGTCATTGAGAGGTCAGAAGATTATCTAGATTATAAAACCCTAATACAGCATGCACAATTACCCTGAATTTTTTTTTTTATCTGATACATTTAATATTACACACTTTTCAAAATTCAAGGTTAATTAGTAACAAAATATGTCTCTTCTTCTCTTTTTAAAACTAGAATAGTGCATGTTTGGACAATCAGAAAATCACAACAATCAATTAATTGTGAAGTTTTAAGTCTGAAAATCATTTAATATATTGTGAATCACTAAATTTACTTGTTTACATTAAATCGTGAATATAACTAGAATATAACTTATCTACTTACATTGACAGTGCCCCTGTCCTCTACAAACCAGCGATGTAACATGGAGTTGAGCTCCCCCTCCCCGACGTTCTGTGTGAACTGCTTCATCTTCTTCTTCAGCTGCCTTTCTAATAGACGCCTCTTCAAGTGCCAGTAGAAGAACTCACGGCTCTTCTGCCATTTAAGAATGTCCTGTGTGACAAACATTAAATCATTGAGTAATTTTATGAATTTGACCTATGAAAAGGTCGGATGTAGTTTTCAGAAAAAAAAAATTTTGACTTTAGAACAATATTTTGTGTTTTAAATTTTCATGATTGATTGCTGCCAATCAGACATAGAGAGAAATCGTCAGGGTTCTATATTCTCATCTGTGAAAACACTACCCAAGGCAAAAGCTAAAGTGAAGTTTAGATATCACAGAAAGACAGTTGAAAATTCAAATGAAATTCAATAAGCCATTCTTTGTTTTGAAGATATAAAAATACCAAACAAATAAATTTTTATAAAATAATTTACATCTTATATATTATATGTGTACACCACACAATGTGAAAAATAATCATAATAAAATCTTTGAATGCTTTCACATTATATCATGAATATGCATTATCAGAAAAATTTATGACTTCAAATTACTTCTTTTCAATTATCTCACTGAATTACACTCACAGTAATAACCCCCATTTCCTCCATTCTCCCTGGAGTGTCATGGAGGTCAGCGAACTGTATCGCTACCTGGTGGTACATGGGGAGTAACTTTTCCTGGCGAGCTGCCAGCTGTTTCTGGAGCTCCTCCTTCTCGTCCGGATTCAGCTGGGGACTGGTCAGTTTCTCCACGATCTGGCGACACGTCTGGTCCAATCTTTGTATGGTCTTCTCTAGATCCTTCCTCCTAAACTTGATTTCTACGGTTCCCTCTGGCTCAAGGACACCTCCCCTAGAATAAAATCGTCACAATCATTTAGACTGTACATTTAGGGAGAAAGTATGGTAGACTTGAAATGAAATAAATTTAAACATTTTCTTTCCTTTTCTTTTTATCTTTTTTATGAGTAAATATGTGAATGATAGTATTTAATTTTTTTTTTTAATTCATACAGTATTATATTTTATGCACAAATGGGCAGCAGGAAAAACCTATTTTAGCCCTCTACCTACAAAGGAGGCACACATGATAGTACATTATAATAATCAAGCCATATTTATTTATACAAATATTTTTTGCCTTGGTATCTTTGAATAATTTTCTTAGTTTCTCCATGCAGCTAAGAGAAGAATTTCATTCAGTTACTTCAATGTTCACTTCTCTTTTTAAATCCTCAATCAAAACTTCATACCTGCTGAGTTCATCCGCATACATTTCCATGTGGGTGGGGTTGATTGTTGGGTCCACCACTACCCAGGCTCCACCCCTCAGCTCAGCATAAGGGGGTATGTAAATCATAATGGGTTGATTATATTCTGTGAGGGCATCCACAATGTAGGAGCCAAACTTCAGAACCTGGTCGTGCATATCTGAAAATTTGAACAAGTCATTTAATGTAAGATTGTAATAGTTGTTCAATAAATGTTTCAATATTTACCATTAAACAATCAAGTTATAAATGTCACATTTACTGTAAGTATTAAATCATATAAATTACCAAGAAAAAATATACATGTAGGTAAGGCATCTGTCATTCATAAACAAGTTTCTAAAAATGCTGCACCATATTTTAAACTCATGCTCAACATAAAATTTTCAGTCAGCTACTGTACAGTAAAAAAACCTTTCAAGATTTTGTATCAAAATCCTTCCATGAGATTAATTTGAACAAAATACCAAAGCTACGTATCAAAAATTCATAAATCCATGATTTTCTGACTTTATTAACATGCTGTACCTTTCATTCCACCTGAGAATCCTCTCCAGTTAGCAAACACCATGAGAGGGAGGTCCTCTCTGTTGAAGTCCTTAATGGCCTGAGCTGTCTTATAGGCCGAGTCAGGGAACCATACCTGACCAGCTTGTTGTATCACCTACAAGTGCAATTTCATTTAAACAATATTTCATTTTTAAAGTCTCGTACTTTTAACAAGAATCCTCGGTTTAAAATCCTATCTTTAAAAAAAAATTCTAATTTAATCATAATTTGGAGCAAATTTTTTTTTTTTACAAAAATACTCAGTTTTAGTTTATCATAGTTTTGACATAATTCTCTAATAATACACTTGATGACTGTACAAAGGAAAATAAGGATTTTAATCTGTACCTTGGTCTCAGAGTCCAGATTGGCTGGGTCAGCTGGTATAGTCATTTCTACTGTCCTGGTCTCTACACAAATCACCCCCACAGGGATCCCGCCCAACCTGTAATACACACATAAAGGTATTACAGCTCATAATTTCCTCTTCCTTTGATATATGTTTATTTAATACTTCTTGGATTTAGAATAATATAATATACAGCAACTGAAACAGTAAATGCATAAAGGGAGACAAACCTTGCTCGACCTGTGACCACTGTTTGTGCCCAAGGCTGTAGGATTTCATGGAAAGACTTGTGATCAAAGAAACCTTTCTGCCAGGAATTCTTATCATCTACAATAAACACAGCATTAATTGATATTAAAAGGTATTACAATATTTATTCTTCAATAAAAGTTTTAGCATTAATCCACTGACCTTGCTATTAATAAAAACTTTTGGATTACCTGGATTTTGTCTGCCATTCAGCATCCACCTGGGATCGTAGGGAGCCTTTGTGGGGATGAAGTCCACCGGTCTGTCTATAGGATCCCCTGTATCTAGTACTGGTAATGGGGAGCCTTTACACTGAAACAATAATCCAGATAAATTATACTCAGTGACTAGCCTCTAGTAAACTAAAACCATAATTCACTGACAGATAAAATACAGTCTACCTCTGTAAAAGTGTAACAACAAATACTGTGAATATTTTTATGTGCCCGGATCGATAGATCCCGGGCGTATATTGTTTTTGTCCTGTCTGTTTGTCTGTTTATCTGTTTGTCTGTTTGTCTGTTTATCTGTTTGTCTGTTTATCTGTTTGTCTGTTTGTCTGTTTGTCTTTCTGTCTGTTGTCAACTTTAACCTTCGCCATAACTTTTGAACCATAAGAGATATTTGACTTCATATTTGGTATGCATACTCCACTAATAAATTCCTTTCAAATGACATCAAGGTCAATGACCTTGTGACCTTGACTGTGACCTATATGCTAAAAATAGCTTTTTTCCACTGTTTGTCATAACTTTTGAACCATAGGAGATAGGGACTTCATATTTGGTATACTTACTCCACTAATAAAGTCCTTTCAAACGTCGACAAGGTCAATGATCTTGTGACCTTGTCTGTGACCTATATGCTAAAAATAGCTTTTTACACTTTTTGCCGTAACTTTTGAACAATAGGAGATAGGGACTTCATATTTGGTGTGCATACTCCACCCATTAAATTCTTTCGAATGACACCAAGGTCAATGACCTTGTGACCATGCCTGTGACCAATATGCTAAAAATAGATTTTTTGAACTTTGTTGCCGCCGGGCGCATAGTGTTTCACAAACACATCTTGTTTTCTCTTTACAAATAAAGTTTTTCTGTTGATTCTCCAGTGACAGTTACTAAAATGTAAAGTACCTTAGTATACTGTGTCAGTGAATTTTTTTTATTATAAAGAAAGTGTTTTCTGTCAATCATCTTTTACTCCATTCTCTTGTGACAGTTATAACACTGGACAATACCTTAGGCATATATGACAGCCACTTGATGATTTTGTAGACACCCTCGAAGTCATCAGCTGTTACGTCGTGTGTGACTCCGTTTGTGTACATGATCTGGATTCCTCCCAGCTGATTGTTACTGGTGTACACCTCCTTACCAAGCACCTGTGTTTAAATTAACAGTGACATTAATTAAAACTTTTTTTATACCCTTCAAGTTACTTTCTTATATCTTACAATAGTATATGCAACAACTTCAGGACTGATAAATTGCAAGTGTGAGGATGACAAAATATCATATGTTTTGGCTATTCCTTTTTATTGAAGACACTCATTTATCTCTGCATTAATTGTAGTTCAGAACTTTATATACTGAGCAAACTACAAAGTGTCTTTCATCTCTAAGAAACTGCCATACCTTGTTAAGTGCACCTGCACCAGTGAGGATGATGTGGGAGTTCTCCACCTGTATAGTTCTCTGTCCAAGTCTGACAAGATAGGCACCTATACCTATAGCTCGACAGGTAACCTAAATATAGAACAATCTGTAAGCTATAAAACCAGATAGGCACCTATACCTATAGCTCTACAGGTAACCTAAATATAGAACAATCTGTAAGCTATAAAACCAGATAGGCACCTATACCTATAGCTCGACAGGTAACCTAAATATAGAACAATCTGTAAGCTATAAAACCAGATAGGCACCTATACCTATAGCTCGACAGGTAACCTAAATATAGAACAATCTGTAAGCTATAAAACCAGATAGGCACCTATACCTATAGCTCGACAGGTAACCTAAATATAGAACAATCTGTAAGCTATAAAACCAGATAGGCACCTATACCTATAGCTCGACAGGTAACCTAAATATAGAACAATTTGTAAGCTACAACAAACTAGATAGGCCCCTATACCTATAGCTCGACAGGTAACCTAAATATAGAACAATCTGTAAGCTATAAAACCAGATAGGCACCTATACCTATAGCTCGACAGGTAACCTAAATATAGAACAATCTGTAAGCTATAAAACCAGATAGGCACCTATACCTATAGCTCGACAGGTAACCTAAATATAGAACAATCTGTAAGCTATAAAACCAGATAGGCACCAATACCTATAGCTTGACAGGTAACCTAAATATAGAACAATCTGTAAGCTACAACAATCCAGATAGGCACCTATACCTATATCTCGACAGGTTACCTAAATATAGAACAATCTGTAAGATACAAACCAGATAGGCACCTATACCTATAGCTCGACAGGTTACCTAAATATAGAACAATCTGTAAGCTACTCATTAATCAGATAGGCATGTATACCTATAGCTCGACAGGTTACCTAAATATACAACATTCATATATAGTCCTAAAGTCAGAGCTAATCTGTAGGGCCTTCCAATATGGATCCCCTTTTGCATTTCCTAAATTCTTTTTTCAGCCTTTAAATTAGTTTCATTCCATTAGTAACAATAAAGCAGTAAAGGTTTTAAAATTAAACACTCAAGAATTTTTCACTCATATGGAGACGTCACCGTATGCTGGTGAAGGGCTTCAAATTTTGACCTTTACTCGGCACTCAGGGCCATTGAGCAATGAGGGATCTTTATCGTGCCAATGCCTGCTCCTGACAAGAGGCCTCGGTTTTTAAGGTCTCACTAAGAGAACTGTTACAGCCATTTATGACTGCTTTTTGGTCCAAATGATGTTTTATGAATAAAATATTTTTTTTAAATCAAGCATGTACTTACCAAATTGATTGTAATGATATCGTTGTAAGCTATAGATGACTCCCCGGCAATCATTCCTGACCCTCTTAAATTCTCTACCCCCAGTCCTTCCTCTCTCCCTGTAAATATAACAAACATTGAATTTATAGAGCAGATGAAAACAGAACAGAATAGAACATTGTTCTGACAATCATCAACCTTAGACTCAAGTTTAAGATGTTCTCACTGGTCAAATTAAATGAAGTCCTTACCTATGACGTCAATAATTTTATATCTGGGTTCTCCCTCATCTTCTATTAGTTCAGCATGGACGGAATTCATGGCACTAACTTTCTTAAAATCTACAGGGGTCAGGTAAAGGTATTTAAATCCCTAGAAACAAAACAAAATTGTCTCAATAGAATACAAATGTAAGCAAGAATTACTGTTTTAAGGACCTCAAACAAAGTAACCTCATCTCTGTGTACTTTTTCAATGTTGACTTTTGTATGCAGTAAAATATGCTTAATATAGGTATGCACAGGCATCAAGCAATTTGAGTCTTTATGAACAACATTTCTTATATTTTTATGTTGACTACATATGATACTTTTTTAACGTCTGGGAATGAAAAAATCTTCACTTTAATAATGAATTCCTTATAAGGCCAAAAAAAAAAAAAACCTGTGTTTCCGGTAACCCGACCGACCCTAATTTTATGCGCCGACCCTAGCACTTTTTATTGCAAATCCGGATTATGTACCTAATTTGTTCTAAAACTACAGTCTTCAAAACGCGCGCAGTTAAAAAGGCACTTGTAACAGATAAATAAAAACGTCTTTTCAAGCATTTTAGAATTATACATGCATAGATAATAGATCTTTTCCCATTAGATCGTTCCCTCCTTCACCCTTTAATGACGACTTTTGACACTTAGCATCCAACCCTTAATGAGACTTTTGACCGCATGTTGACACGTGTGTATATTTTCATTGTTGATTTGATTGAAATTACCGCTTGTTTATAAATTATCAGAGCACTAACAATAGATGATTGCATCATACTACAGTTGGAAATCACATGATTTACTTGTGTAAAAAAAAACAAGAATCTCGGAAAGTCCCACCAAAATTCAAAATGGCGGAGTTACTTACGATGTTTTTTTTGAGCATATAACTCCGTCAATACGCAATATTTTCTCATCCAGTAGAGCATTACATGAAATTCAAGCTATCAACTACATATTTCTTGAAAGGTTTGATAATTATAATGATCTATACGTGTAATATACTTCAATATAAGATACGAAAATTTTGTGAAGTTCGGGACCTCGCAGTGCAGATTTCGTTACCAGTTTCTCAGAAATTCAGAAGATATCTTCCATTTTACACATATTTATAAATGTAAAGGTGTTGATAATAATTATTTAAATAGAACTTGATCATTTAAATAATCAAAAACGTTTAGAAATCAAGTTTTATCATGCAACTTTGAAAATTTGTTGGCGAGATTGACATTGTGGTATCACCAGAATTATTGATTTCTGATGAATCAAACTTATAAAATGGATAATAATTTAACCATTAATTATATCATCACATATAAATTTCATAGTTTTTAAAGAAAATTTTGGCATATTTGTTTAAAATATCTATTTTGCGATTTACACCTGCCTTCACCTGAATTATTTATTTATAGAAAATTACAATAAAAATTCTGTAAATAGATGAGAAAAAATTAATTTATTACGAATCCAATGATATATAATACACAGCATAAAAGAAATATTTTGACCCCTATTAGCATGATTAGTTCAGTTTTAAAATGCACTCCAATTCATTTAAAACGCTGTAAGGGGCAGCCACTAGGCAAACACTCCAGGGATATGGCTAGTGTGTCAAATTGTGGCCCTAGATGTATTGCATCACTTATTTTATATGTGCATATCTCAACTCCAAGTCCACCACATGTTGTCATTGGGTTTAAGCTCAAGAAATGTCCACATTCATACGAAATTACTGCAATATATAACTTTCTTTGGCACTGGACTGTGGGAAATTTATTTGGAGATAGTCATAATCTTGAAGCTATCAACGGCTGTTTAACTCGGACATTATTGGCCGTGAAAGAAATGGATATTAACTATGTCTTTACATGTAATGATAATGAGGTCGAGGTAGAAGTAGGCCTGAAAAACAATGTTGAATTCTTTATTTTACTTTTCTTGATAAATGTGACAAAATTTCATTATTAAATTGAAATTAAAATTCAAATGTCTTTTTCTGTAAATCAATTTCTTGCAATTGGTTCTGCTATCTACCTCTAGAAAACAAAATATTACTTGTTAATATTTAATAGCATATACAGTTTACCTAAAAAACAGTCGAATATAATGTTCACTTAAAATAAAAAGTAAAAGTAAAAAAAAAAGTAATTGCCTACCTACCCTAATTTTGAGGGACATGTTACCGGAAACACACATTTTTTTTTTTGGCCTAAGCATGTTCAGCATAACCATGTTTTAGTGTATATCATCGGTGGTAAGTATATAAGCTAAGCCTTTAAAAAGTTACCTTTTCTATATCTTTGGGGTCATTCCAGGCCACCTTAAACAGATGTTTGATCTCCTCAGCTAGCCCTATCCTGGCTCCACTGTTAGCCGAGATGAAGATTCGGGGAAGGCCCTCTCTCCTGGCTTTCTCTGAGGCTTTCTGAAAGGTGATTTTCAAATGGCTAAAAATATGGATCTGGCTAAGAAATCTTTGATTTTTCACCCAGAAATGAAATTTTAAAGTAATCATTACATAGTCTTCAACAGTCAACAGAGAATGCTCACTCCTCCAAGGCACCTGATTCCACCTCTGGAATTTCCAGATTCCATTTCACAGATAGGTATTGTTTATATTAGACTTTTTTTAAATCAATCATTTTTTATTATATTTCATTTTCCAACTTTAATGAGCTTTATGATACTGGATGATACTGTAAATGTACATGAATGCCGTGCAGTCATTGGGTATGGCGTAATCATTATCTGGCACTACAGAGGTCCGAGCGGTGCATTGTATTTATAAATATGAAAGCTCACTTTTTAAAGTACACATACAGTACCTTAAACAGGAGATCCTCCACAGGTCCAAATGAACCAATCTTGTATGTGATGTCATTAGATATAACAATGATGTCACGACCTTCAGGGCATTCTGGTGTCTTCAAGGTCATCTGCCAGGCCACCATTCCAATCTGAAAGGTAAAATGTCCAACAGAGGATAACATTCCAATCAAGCATAATATCAAGAGATTTACTTTCCAGACGTGAACAGAAAACAGATTGGTATCAATACTACAGTCTAACCTCGTTTTCCCCTGGCAGTCTGTTCTGTTTACACAGATCTATATGTATCAGTATTACAGTCTAACCTCATTTTCTCCTGGCAGTCTGTTCTGTTTACACAGGTTGTTGTCTTTATCCAGGACCAGCTCTATACAACTGAAGGCATCAGCTGGAATCTTGTTCTCCTCTCTGTGATCCTTCCAAAACTTCTGTAAGGCCTGAAACACAGAATAACAAAGTCATAACAACAAAACTTCTGTAAGGCCTGAAAAACAGAACAACAAAACTTCTGTAAGGCCTTAAATACAGAACAAAAAAGTAGGGATGTCAACGAATATTCGAATAATCGAATATTCATTCGATGAGTTGATATTCGAATATAAATTTATGATTTGAATATTCGTTTTTAAGTATTCAAGCATTAAAAAGAGAGAAAAAACCTTGCAAGTTTATCGGAAATTGAACCAAGTTCGTACAAAATTATAAAATCTATTAGAGTAATTTATTTATTTGTTCACTTAAGTAGCGATATAATCGTTTCCAGTACTAACAATCAGCTTGCATTATTGTAAGGAAACGGTTTTACAGTAAACACACGGACCCCTTGTTTATGCAAATATCATTAAAAATCATTATCAAGAAATTATAATAGGCAAAAAATAATTGCTTGTAATAATTCACCATTAGATCTTCTAGCTATTCCCACTTTTTAAAAATCTCAATTCCACCTATTCCCACTTGTAAATAACAAAAGATGTTTTGATAAGTTAATTTGTTTTTACTGTAATTAGAATAATTACATCCCATCATAGTTATAACTGTATTTTACCTGTATTTTGTACATTTTAAGACAGAAAATAAATATATTTATCTAAAAAAATATATATATTTTATCAGAAAAAAATGCATATAAATATTTATTTAAATTGAAAAAAAAATAAATATATGAAAAAAAAACATATAAATAACTAAAGTTGTAATATAAAATAAATAGTTTAACAGAAAAATATACTTTAAAGTCTGTACTTAAATTCATTGAAATATATACTTAGTCAAAATGTTTAAATTTATTAAATTTTTCTTTAAGGCCTAAAATAGTTATTTAAATCCAAGTCAAAAAGATCAATGAAAGTTTATGTAAAATTCATTGGTTTACAAACAGTCCCCTAACAACAGTGGTGTAATAATTACTGTTTTCACAGTCATGATATGTTTATTCGGCAAATTATTTGTTTACACAAAAATTCAACCTACTCCCACATGAAATTTTACCTTTTTCTACCTGATTTTCAAAAAGTGGGAATAGGTAGAATGAACCCTTTTCTGATTGGTATAAATCTGGAACATACTAAAGAATCTTCTGAATTTTCAAAAAAGCAATCATTACATTTTGGATGTATACTATTCAATATTTTTATTTATAAAAATTTAATTGCAGTGCATTTACCGAAATATACATGAGTTTTATTCCAAAATAATAGCAAAAAACCTATACTACTTGACAGGAGGTTGAAAATTCTGTAAGGCCAAGGTGTATTTATTTTATCGACATATTCGAATATATTCGAAACAACAAAATTCTGTCAATTATTGACAATTTTGACATCCCTAACAAAAAAGTCAAAACAACAAAACTTCTGTAAGGTCTAAAATACAGAACAACAAAGTCATAACAACAAAACTTTTGTAAGGCCTGAAATAAAGAACAAGAAAGTCAACACAATAAAACTTCTGTAAGGCCTGAAATACAGAACAACAAAGTCAAAACAACAAAACTTCTGTAAGGCCTGAAATACAGAACAACAAAGTCAAAACAACAAAACTTCTGTAAGGCCTGAAACACAGAACAACAAAGTCAAAACAACAAAACTTCTGTAAGGTCTGAAATACAGAACAACAACAGTCAAAACAACAAAGCTTCTGTAAGGCCTGAAATACAGAACAACAAAGTCAAAACAACAAAACTTCTGTAAGGCCTGAAACACAGAACAACAAAGTCAAAACAACAAAACTTCTGTAAGGCATGAAATACAGAACAACAAAGTCAAAACATCAAAACTTCTGTATGGCCTGAAATACAACAACAACAAAGTTAAAACAACAAAACTTCTGTAAGGCCTGAAAAACAGAACAACAAAGTCAAAACAACAAAACTTCTGTAAGGCCTGAAATACAGAACAACAAAGTCAAAACAACAAAACTTCTGTAAGGCCTGAAATACAGAACAACAAAGTCAAAACAACAAAACTTCTGTAAGGCCTGAAAGAGAGAGACATGATTCAAAACAGTCATCCTACAACAGCTAAACTTCTGTTGATTGATTGATTTGAACATATTTTATTTTAATATAATTACAATGGGATTGAGCACAAACTTCTGTTACTCATCACCTTTCTATTATTTATTTAATTATGAAATATGTTGAAAAAATTAGATAAATGGAAGCAGGTATTTTTGATTGAAAAAAATAAAAATTGATAACATTGGGACTTAATTTTCTTGTTCCAAAAGTAACCATTATATAACATTGTCTGTATAAAAATTTTTTCTTGAGGATTTCAATATCCTTGATAATTGTTGTCATAATGTTGCTTTCTCAGTAGGTGTTTTATCTTATATTATAGCCATGTCAATTTCTGTGATACCTGAGTGAACATTCCTGGAAAATCATAGACATAAGTTGTTCCGCTTGACTGGGCCTGGAATCTCTTTAGCTGTAGATGGTCCTTTGTGGGGTAGGGGGTGCTGATCAGTAGACCGTGAAGGGCCCCTTGTTTTGTTCCATAGGCTTCAAACATCACCTACAAAATGTATTCAAGAGTTTGATAAAAAGGCTTAAATCTAAACAAGGATAAAATACATGTATCAAGAAACCTCAAATGCTCATAAAATACAATTCCAAAATGATGTCAAACTCTTGTAAAATTTAAAACCCCTTATTTACTCTGAAAATATGACCTTGACCTGATATGAAGTCTTGAACTGAACAGTTCGTATGTATGTTGCATTTTTTGACATTGTTCAAATAAATTATCAATACAATATTTAAATGTGGAAAATGTATATGGCAGGCAAAGAATACTAAAAACAATATATTGCCCTTAACTTCCCCAACCCACTTACTACACATTTATCTACATACCCCAACTCTTCTCAGATTTTTTTTTACATGATTCAGCTTAATTGGTACAAATTAACTGAACATGCAGAAAATGTCATTAAAGTGCAAGTAAAAACAGACTGATAAACTGAAAGCCATACTTGTCCCATGTTAGGATCTGTGACCTCCCTATACATGCTCATGTCCAAGTAATATCCACTCTCATTGGTCAAAAACAGACGAATAGGAATGCTTGTATCACTAGATGCAAACCTAAAACATTCCAAAATATTTGTTGTATGTTAAAAGCTTTTCCAGAATTTTCGTCTTTAGAGCTAAATATCCATTGTACATGTGTTTACAACCAAAACTATTTGTCTCATAAGAAGTTTGAGAATTAAGAAGTAGACTTACTTGATTGTGAATTTGAGCTCAGCATTGAGAACTCTCATCTTCATGAGACGACTGCCGTATCTCATCACCATAGCTCTGACTGTCTCCTCCAGCTGTTGAGATATAATGACACATGGTAATGGTGAATAGACAATGGTAATAACCAGAAATGGAAAGAAAATGAGGGGTATTTATATTCAAACATGAGTATATTATATGGTAATGTTGAATTTACCTTGCCTGGTTCTGGAATGGTCAGAGTTGGTGCAAAGTTCAGGAATATGTGATTACAGTCAGTCTTCTTAGACTGAAATTATAACACAAGATCTATTTAGTATCATGAATGTTGATTCCGATACAAACTGAAAACATCATTATGGTCAATTCTGAAATACTTTGAAATTGCTAATTCTAGTTGGAAAAGGGGGGGAGTAATTTTCTCTTTTCAAGTATGATGAGATAAAAAAAATTATGTCCTCCAGAAAATTCGAACTTTCAAACTCCAGTACCATAATTGTTTATTTACATTAACCATTAATTTCTCCCTCAAATGAACCAATATTTTTTCTCAAACCAATAAAATTAAATCAATGAAAATAAGTGAATTTACAGGACTTTATCAACCCTAACTCACCAGTGGATGGGAGAATGCCACTTCTAATGAATCCAACGCCTCAAGGAGGGTTCTCTCTGCTTCATTTTGTAAGTACTCAAAAGAGGCCTCCTAATGAAAAAAATCATTAAAGATTTGTCAGTACAGTGTAACTAAAGGCCTGTCTTTGTTTGAAAAAGAGTATAAACAGTTCATATGATGCCAACTACAAACACATAAATATATATGACAACTCTGACAAGGAACACTTTGTTCAGATAGATTTTTTGCTTATTGTAAAATTTTAAATAAAGGGAAGGAAAATAAAGAAGTGCACAATGCATGAACACAAGATGGTACAGATCATACAATATCTTGTAAATTTCCTGCATCAAAACAAATTTATTTTCTTCTTGAAAAGAATAACTTTTTTGTTCATAATTATTGTTGTGTGTAATGTTACCTTGGTGACGAGGTCAGAGTGCCTGATGATGACCCTCACAAAGAATCTGTAATCCGTCACTTCCTGTCCCGCTGCCACCTGTTATACAATAAACAAATAAGTTTATGATGCAGGTAACCCTGAAAAACAATTGTAATCCGATTGTCCAGACAATAAACAAAACATTTATAAGGCAAGTTACACAGAGTTATTTCCCTTTGAAGATTGTTGGATACAATTCCCCCTTTAATGCCACCTGTTATCAACTTTGATTTAGAAGGCAAGTCTGCAACTTTTGAAATTTTTACAATCAACTTTGTTCAATTTCCCACAAATTTTTCAATGTAATTTCAACAAATTAATTTAAAAAAAATAATATGATTTCAAGAAGATTAGACATATTTATTAACTAATTCTAAAACAATTGACTTGTTTACATGTGAAGTAGGCTTTTATATTAATTACATGTACTGTAAGAGTTCTCTCCCTTTAATCAGAACTGAGTTAAATTCTACCTTAGCTTTTCCCAGGTATAGATGCATCTTGTAGTTGTTGGTCTGAATGGCCTCCAGGTCAAAGTTCCTCAGTCTGTTGATCTCCATCTGGAAGGCCAGAGCGGGCTCTAAATGTCGGTAAATCCTGTCCTCACCAAACTAAAAATAAATAATGGTGATTATCATAGTCTAAATTATTCAAAGGAACAAGACATTTCTTGAAAAACATAATGTGTTGTTTTCATGTGTTTTATTTATATCATTAAAGGTATAAACGATTCTTTTTGTTACCATGTTGTCATTTACTTACATCAAATTTGGCACGATATGTGAAATATTTTGGGGAACTTCTCTAAAAGAGAAAATAAAATTCAAGTTAATCATAAATGTAATTAAATACATACATCAATTGCTTTATACATACAACATTTGTAAATTGTAACACATTATTTTTTAAGTTCAATCACACTGAAAGCATTCAATTTTAGACCTACCCTATAACTATCATTTTGAAAGCTAAGGCTATGTACCCTAAAGAAATAACAGTGAAAAAGTTCATTTTGAGACTTACCCTACAGTAGACTAGGAATGTGATTCTTCTGATGGCCTTCTCACACAAATATTGCTCCTAAAAATATCACAAAACACAACTTCCAATTATCTCAAACTAAACTCATAATAGATTTATAAAAGAGAATTGCAGCTTTATAATTCATTATTTGTATTCTGTGAATTTAGTCCACACCCTCTCTTTACAAAAATCCTGGAACTTGACAGCCAGGGCATTGTCGTCGTACTTCTCCTTCTTGCTGAATTTAATTCCTACGTTGATGATATGGATAGGTTCATCTGGATCTGAGGAACTCTGTAAAGAAAATTATCAACATTGGTTGTCTGGCACCTTTAATGGATAATTTACATCATTTATTATACACTATGAATGGTTTCACAGCAAGATATTATACTGAAACATATGCAGCAGGTGATGCAACTTAGTATTTTTTAAAGACTTTTAAAACTTTTTTCCTTTCTGCTTTTTTTCTTATCAGAAGGTACAGTAAGTAAGACTGACATGAAGAGAGATGGAGTCCTCATTGCCGGCGGGACTCTTGGCCAGTATAGTGGGACTGCTAGGTGGGCTGTCTGACTCCACTGTAAAGCACTCCAACACCTGCTCAAAGTGGCTACAAAAAAAAGCATTTTTTTTTTTAATCTTTTATAAACATGAAATATTTATTTTTTAATTAAAAGATGATATATATGAACAGCTGAAATAATGTCTGATATATTGCTTTCTTTTAAACTTTGGTATTTTGTCAGACACTACTCACATTTCGAATTCTGCCATGGAGTTAAATGAGGCCATGATGCCCATTCTCTGACAGGTGGGCGGTTCCTCCAGCTGATCAATGTGGGCCTCAGGGTCTGACAGACCCGACACCTTGTCACTGCTGTCATAGCGCATCACCATCAGTCTGACAATTAACACAACAATTAACCAGTTTACTGATTCATAATCAAAATAGATACCTCCCTTACTCTTAGTAATGTACATTGTGGAATTATACTTTTGAGCAGTGACAAAACAAAGTGCAGAATTTGAAACTGTAATTTGATCTTAATTACCTAAATGACCAGAAAACAGAAAAATTTCAAATGTCTGATTCAAAATTTTTTATTTTCATTTATTTAACTTGTCTAATGTCTTCATAATCATTTACCTGTTGGGGTGTGACCGGGGAAGGAGGAACCTGAATTCCACCATTGACATGTCCCCGTTAAGTTCTCTGTGTTGGAGACAGTTCACCTCATACGTAATGTACGCTCTCCTTATGTACACCTACATTATAATATATTACAGCATTTACAAAATCATGTTTATAAAAGTGCAATGAAAAGTAAAAAGTCAACTTTTAAAGTTCTTGGACCCTCTCTGCTAAGAGAGATAACTCTCACCAGATATGAAATTCCTTTAAAAACTGTCAAATTTTTCAGATTTTGAATAGCTAAATTAATTGCAAAACATAATTTGAATTTCTTTTAAAAAGTCATAATCTATGTAAAAATGAAAGCTTCATTTTATTGACTCCATGGAATAAAAGAACCTGAAAATAAAGAAAATGAAAAGACTTTTCCCTCAAAAATTGTAGAACTTGGGTTCTCATGAATTTATGAAACTGTCATCATTTAATCAATTCCTGACACTGACTGCTTTGTTCTCACCTCTAAGGCAGCAGATCTGACCTGACACTGACTGCTTTGTTCTCACCTCTAAGGCAGCAGATCTGACCTGACACTGACTGCTTTGTTCTCACCTCTAAGGCAGCAGATCTGACCTGACACTGACTGCTTTGTTCTCACCTCTAAGGCAGCAGATCTGACCTGACACTGACTGCTTTGTTCTCACCTCTAAGGCAGCAGATCTGACCTGACTCTGACTGCTTTGTTCTCATCTCTAAGGCAGCAGATCTGACCTGACACTGACTGCTTTGTTCTCACCTCTAAGGCAGCAGATCTGACCTGACACTGACTGCTTTGTTCTCACCTCTAAGGCAGCAGATCTGACCTGACACTGACTGCTTTGTTCTCATCTCTAAGGCAGCAGATCTGACCTGACACTGACTACTTTGTTCTCACCTCTAAGGCAGCAGATCTGACCTGACACTGACTGCTTTGTTCTCACCTCTAAGGCAGCAGATCTGACCTGACTCTGACTGCTTTGTTCTCACCTCTAAGGCAGCAGATCTGACCTGACACTGACTGCTTTGTTCTCACCTCTAAGGCAGCAGATCTGACCTGACACTGACTGCTTTGTTCTCACCTCTAAGGCAGCAGATCTGACCTGACACTGACTGCTTTGTTCTCACCTCTAAGGCAGCAGATCTGACCAGGTTGTTAGTGTGCCAGAAGAATTCCTGTAGGATGTCATAAATGGCTGTCTCTGAATGGATGATTTTCTGACCTGACACAAATTAATGTTCACAATTAATAATAAAATATCTCCCTTAAACTCTACTATTTGTTCATACTTTCTATAGGCATTATATATATACATTATAAATTGGATTAGGCTGTTCAGGTTCTAAAATTACATGCATAATATATTTTCAGGTGCTAAAAAGATATACATGTAAGAGATTGATTTCTTGATGCTTAACAATAAATTAGTGGATTTTTACAATTTAATGTTCTAAGTTGTTGAAACTTTAAGTTGAATTGCTAAGAACCTTTAAAAGATAACAGATTTCTCTAAATTGTATCTCATTTTGTTGTTATCTGAAATAATTATAATTATATAAGTAATTTAATTTAAACTTAATTTTTATAAAATTTTCATACTGCAAAAGATATTTCAAAACAAACTCTACATAAAGAAACAAATTTGAATTCAAAAAAACTGCAAAAAAATTTTTAACCTTAAATTCTTACGTCATACAAGTAGTCCAAATAAGCCTTTCTCTTCTAAATACATGTACAAGAAAGTTTTACAATTGAACTAGAGGAAGAGACATATTAGTCTTTTTTACTTTCCAATTTTTTATTTTCTGTTGACTGACAAGGACACTTAATGTTAAAGATAGAGATCAGGAAAGATCCGCCACACCTGTAGATTTTCAGGATTGAACTCTGGTCCATACATATCAATGGCCGACAGAAAGATGGATTCCATCTGGTTATGTCTGAGTTCATAAGGGGGAGTGTGAGCTGCTATCAACACCTGGAAAGTTAATCCAAATCCAATTACACAGAATATACATAATACAAATGTATTATATTTAGTAAACGTACACATTTTGGAACAGAAATTGATAGGACTTTTAAACAATAAATTCACAGATTTTATTTAGCACATACTAAAGATTGTTCTTTTCATAATTTTTTACAGATATGTGCGATGATGTAACAAATAGCAATTTCAATACTTGAATTAGCTGACACTTTTGTGCAAAAACGCTAAAAAGAATTAACAAAAGCCAAATGTAATAAATCATAAAATAAAATGTATTGAAGTACTTTTTTATGGTAAAAATTTACACTTGATACGCTCACAAATTGTACATGGAAATTTTCAGAAAATACTTGTAAGGCATTTATGAGATTGATACGCATATAAAAATAATAAATATATAATCCACAATATTTTATATAAATGTACACATACACATTGTAATACCTGTCTATACTTAAACTGAGAGGGAAATTGGGAGATTCTGCATTGTTCAGTGTGGTGATTTTTCTAGTCAATGGAGTCCACGTCTACAGTCAGACCAGCATTTTCACAGTATCTAAATAAATATATCATGATCAAAATTTTTAAGAAGTTTATTGCCTGTGGAAAATTTTATTTTAAATCATTTGTGTATATTGCATCACCTAAAAGTATCTTTATCCACTCCTATGTTTTTCAAAGATCTAGGTGAGATTGATACTCATATAAAAATGAATATTTTGTATGATAATAATGACCGAGTTTATAACGGCATTGTAATACCTGTCTGGCCCTGAGAGCTACTTTAGCGTTCTCTGCATTATTCAGTGTGGTGAGCTCAGTCAGTATGGAAGCCAACTCATCTGTCAGACCCGCTTCTTTCTTGCAAAGGTGGTCCTATAATAAATAATCATAATGATTGCAATTATTTCTAGAAAATTTTGCCTCTTTGACCTCTTCACTAAAGTAATTCCAAAATCCTTTTTACACTGCTTTCTGAAATTTATAAAACATTTTCTTTAAGTATCAACATTTTTTAACTGGATTTAAATTATGCTTGAAGTAATTTACAGCCAGTATTTCAGCTACATTTGTAAATAAATAAGCTTAATATTGGTGAGAAAATTATATACCTTAATGGTAAGCCATAAAAAAAACAAATCAACCATATTTATTTAACTGAAAGCAATCTGTATCAAGGAAATGCTGCAGATATTTGAAATGTCAGCACTTTTAATTGAAAGAAAAAATATATCAAAGTCGACTATTCTTACGATGAGCATGGTGATGAGGATGTTTTTCTTCTGTACAGCCAGATGAGAGAAGATGCTACCAGCCACTGCAGACATGTCCTTGGTCTTAGATATCAGCTGAGCTATACACTTGTCATAGTGACCTGTCAAAAAAATCATTACCAGGTTTATTAGGTAAATTTTAAAATTAAAAGTTTTTCTCCCAATACTACCATATTTTGATTCACACAATGGCAAATTATGGTACTCAAAAAGTACTTAAATATGCTGGTATTAATTAAGTTGTATGCAAGGGCAGAAAATTTGGCTACTAAATATAAAAACATATAAATTGTAATACACTTTTTGAACTATTTTTTAAACAGTCAATGCAAAAAAATTAATATTACTTCATTTATAATTAAAGCAATGTTTTAATACACTTTAAAACCATTTTCCTTTTTGGAAGTGGGTGGGGGAGGATGGGTGACTATATTCTTACCATGTTGAAATTGGACCTCTACCCTGACGTACTGTTTTAGTAAGTCCTGTACCACACTCTTCATGTGACCTCGGATTCCATTCCGGTACCTACAATTCAGAGATAACACACATTTTAAACACTGGTGAATTTTCAAAGCACATATGGCGACGTTTTGATATAAGACTAGTCTTTTTTTCTTCAAAACTTTTTATTAATACAGTGTACTATGAATTGAACATATTTTCTGATTCTTATTCCTTCTAATTCTCTAAAAAAGTCAAGTGGGCTTCAGTACATATGTTTAGGACTGTAATTAATAATGAGTTATGATCATTATGGAAGCACATTCAAAGGAGAAAGAAAGGGGTAGGGGGTGAGAAAAGCAATACACAGACACAGACAAAAACCACAAAATATAAGATGCAGTTCCTGGAATTACACACACAGACAAATACAGAACATTAAGGCTGTGGTAACAAAAGGAATAGAAATGGGGTTAATGCCAGAAGGTCTATGAAGAGTGCAAAACAGTTCCATACAAGTTTTCAAGATTATTTGTCTCAGTAAGGGCCCCCTCCCACTAATCAATTAAAATGTTTACTAAAAAACTTGAAACTTAAAACAGTTTTAATGGACTGGTAATCTCTTTTGAAATATGTATAAATAAAGTATCAAGTGGGATTATGTATTTTGATTTTCAGATAATGCTCTTATTCAAGTTTAGAGGCATGCATATCTTATCTGACTATTTCTTTAACGAAAATGAAAAGAAAATTCAGAAATGTGCATGTACTGGACTTCAAGTTTATCTGTTCAGATCAAGTGTGAAAAAAAGTTTGAATGGTGACCAGAAATCTTAAAACCTTGTGATTCATCCTACTCACAACCCACTAGCATTACCCCTTAGATCCACTGTCAAAAGAAAATGTCACATGCGTTACACCAAGAACAATTATACACAAAATTCATTCCATTAAGCTTTATGATAGAACTGTCACATGCAAAAGGAAGAGGCATTCAATTTTTTGGTTCAATTATGAATCTGATATGGTTGGATTGACATGCATGCTTGTCAGAAGAAAATATACTCTCTGATATGCTTTACAAGAAATTTGGGACACTTGAGATTACCAAAGGTCAGTAATACTATGACCTCTAACCTCTGAACTAGTTGAACTATGCCCTGTGTTGTCATGAAGAAGTTTTCTCTCTCTGTTCTTCTTGTAAGAGTGGCAGCATGGCTGTCTATCACATTTGCAATCTAAAAGGAAGCATGTGAGCAAATAAACCTTAATTTAGTGGCAAAATATACAATTATATTTTAGTTTCATTTTAGTGGCAAAATAAACATTTTGATAAAGTAATTCTTTCAATATTTTAATTTGAAATTAAAACACTTTTTAGAGTTATCCCTTATTTGTAAATACACAATTTTTTTTTTTGGTTGTCTTTCTCTAATCAGAGAGAAGAATTGGTAAGCATGGTCTCTCTTTAATCATTTATCATTAATCATTAATTTCAAAATTTTATTTAAATATTTTTTTTGGCATGGCAGCATTTCAACAACAACAATAGAATTGATTACTTATTTTTACCTGTTGGCTGGGAAACTGACTGAGTACAGAAGTGATGTTACTGGAGTATGACTGAAGCTGTCACTAATTTTTACCTGTTGACTGGGGAACTGATGGAGTACAGTGATGATATTACTGGAGGATGACTGAAGCTGTTTCTGATTTTTACCTGTTGACTGGGGAACTGACTGAGTACAGAGGTGATATTACTGGAGTAAGACTGAAGCTGTCACTGATTTTTACCTTTGACCTGTTGACTGGGATATTACTGGAGTACTGAAGCTGTCACTGATTTTTACCTGTTGACAGAAGTGATGTTACTGGAGTATGACTGAAGCTGTCACTGATTTTTACCTGTTGACTGGGGAACTGACTGAGTACAGAGGTGATGTTACTGGAGTATGACTGAAGCTATCACTGATTTTTACCTGTTGACTGGGGAACTGACTGAATACAGAGGTGATGTTACTGGAGTATGACTGAAGCTGTCACTGATTTTTACCTGTTGACTGGGGAACTGACTGAGTACAGAGGTGATATTACTGGAGTATGACTGAAGCTGTTACTGATTTTTACCTGTTGACTGGGGAACTGACTGAGTACAGAGGTGATATTACTGGAGTATGACTGAAGCTGTCACTGATTTTTACCTGTTGACTGGGGAACTGACTGAGTACAGAGGTGATATTACTGGAGTATGACTGAAGCTGTCACTGATTTTTACCTGTTGACTGGGGAACTGACTGAGTACAGAGATGATATTACTGGAGTATGACTGAAGCTGTTACTGATTTTTACCTGTTGACTGGGGAACTGACTGAGTACAGAGGTGATGTTACTGGAGTATGACTGAAGCTGTTTTTTGATGGCTTTCTCCAACTGTGGTGAGGTGATATTACTGGAAATCACTGGCTGTTTTTTGATCCTACAAAATAAAATTAAATGTTTTCACTCACAATGGCCACAGATTTAAAGCTGCAAAATCTATTTATTCTCTAACAATAAGACACTTCGTGCTTGAAAATATTTACAACTATGAACATGCCATCATCAATCTCCTAAAAAATCAGAATTCACAATGATGTGAAGTTTTCCATAAAAATGCTTATTTCTGACTAATATTGAGGAAAAAATGAGCACGAAATGTAAATTCACATAACAGTCACCAAATGTAAATCATATCTAGTTGCTATCATTATCATGATATTTATAATGATATAATTTTTGTTAATTAAATTTCAAATCAAATAAATTGTTACAAAACACATTATGACTGAATCCTTCTTTTAAAATTACTGCTTCAATTATAAATTATTCATACCTGCAGTTCCAGTAGAGGCAGTGATGGGTCCCTCAGACACTTCATCAGTCTCTCTATGGAGGTCTGTAGTTTAGGTTTGAAGTAAGGATCAGGCAGTGTGTACCCGGCCAGGATGTTCTCTAGCTCGGCCCGCGTACTCTGGAAGATCTGGTGAAGCTTCTCCCCGTGGGTGGGCGGGGCCTGGGGTTGGGGGAGTGTCCCTTTGAAGCTCTGGGCCTGCTGGACACGACTGGGGTCATCAAGGTCAAGGTGGGCCACGATACTGCCCCCTTCCAACACCGCTCCCGGCCTCTTAACATAATGAACACTGAAACAAGAAAAATGTTGGTTAATTCTTAAATAAAAGCTTATGTTCTCTATACCTACTTCTTTTTCTGAGAATGAAATTTCATACATTGATTAAAAATTTTTAATTTCAGGTAAGTTAGTTTTGACTTTAATAATAGGCATAACTTATAAATTTTTAATCCCTAAAATGATCACTTCTGAACATTCTGCCAAAATATGGCTGAAATATTGCTGACTTCGTTAACAACAATCAATGAATTTGTAATAGCTTGTTTTCCATAACCAAAACAAGAAATTTGTAGACATCTTTTACCATCCATTTTCTGTGACCCTAAGTTCCATGACCATTTTCATGACTTCTATTTCAGCGTACACATCCCCAGCAAACACATGGCCTCCATCATCTATCATGTAGTTCAACAGCTTACCAGCAGACGGGGACCTTCATAGAAAACATAGACATTCTCAAATCATTCACATTCATGCATGAAAAAAAGACTATCTACTAAAGGTAATTTTTCAATTTTATTTGTGTAATCTTTGAATCTAACAAGAGATATCTGTCTTTTAATACATCTGTGTCTGAGGAGTTTTAAAATAGAGCCAAAATATTTGGATGCAGTCACAAAAAATACCTTGTATCAATTTATTATTTTAAATATTTTATACCTGATATTATTAATTCTAAATATGCATTTCATAGTCCCAGTTTCTGTGATGTTACATTTCTTAACTAATTAGGTCTTTCCAACTTTCTCTGGAAAGACCTATTGATTTTCTTCTGTTTTTTTTTTTCTTTTTTATTATTTTTCCGCCGTGTGATTTTGAGTTTCAAGATTTATCGAAAAGATTTTTAGTCGACAAGAATGTACTCCGTAAAAGATTTTAGCAGTTGACCCTGCGTATACTGATTTTTACCACTGAGCTTTGACCCCTTTCGGAGTTACGACCCCTTTCGCAATAAAAGCTTGTTATCGCTACTCCTCCGAAACCGTAAACCGCAGAGAATCCAAACCTTTATTAATGTGTACGACTGATTTAGAAGACTCTTCAATCAAACATTGCGAAAGGATTCGTAAACTCCTATAATGAATTATTGCCCCTGAATGTTTGCGATGTTTACGAATATCAAGAACTTTTCTAAAACGACAAATCGTAGAGACATGGGGCCAACTGCAAAAGATTTCTTGACCTCTGACTTTAAAATCTAGGTCAAGGTCAAAGGTCAAGGTCATTCAAAATATGTAAAATTAAGCATTTTTTATAGCTCTTTTGTTCTTAGCCAAATTCTAAACTTCTTTGCATTTTTAGTATGTACTCTTAAAACCATTTCAGAGATTCCATGCTTGTCCCTTAAGATTGAACCCTATAAAAGTTAGTGCCCCTTTCATTGTAAACCCTTGTTATCGCTACTCCTCCGAAACCGTAAACCGTAGAGGTATAAAACCTTCAACAATGTCTGCGACTAATTAAGTACACTTCTCATTCTATTGATGCGAAAGAATTCGTAAACATTTAAAGTAGTTATTGCCCCTGGCAGTTTATGATGTTTAGAAAGAACTAAAAACTTCTTAACGACAAGTCGTAAGGACATGGGCCCAACTGCATGAGATCTTCTGACCTTTGACCTTGAATATAAGGTCAAGGTCAAAGGTCAAGGTCATTGGGAAAGTATCGAAATTGCTTATTTACGGGCTTTTGGTTCAAATGACCTTGACCTTTGACCTTGATATTTGACCTTTGACCTTGACCTTTCTCAAAAGTTTAAAAAGATATATTCATTTTCTTTACCTAGATTAGATTCAGCTTCAAGTGTAAAACTCAAGTTTATAAAAGTGTTGTTTGTTGGTTGTTTTTTTTTTTTTGCATGACCTTGACCTTTGACCTTGATGAATGACCTTGACCTTTGGCCCATAGGTCACATTCAAGCTTAAGTATGTGGAGGTACTTATAATTCTCACGTCAACAAATACTTATATAATCCCCTCCCCCTCCCCTGATTTCTCTAAAAAAAAAAAATCAATAGCGGCATAGAAATTTTTTCTACAACTCAAAGGAAATAAAAGATCAAGATAAAATTCAGTTCAGCATGTAGAAGACACCTCAAAGAAAGTGCTCTGAGAGTTTTACGGTGAGTCTCTTAAGTACAATTAAATTCTAGTGAATATCGGCGAAATCTACATTTTTTTCTGTCTGAAATTTAATTGTTTCTGGGTATAAAAAATAATTTAAGCTTGTATTGGCCATTTCTTCGATTGTTGTTAATATCACTCGATTCTCCTGCTCCAATACGATATTTCGATACTAAATATTCTTGCTTTCTTTAGTATGTGGAATTTATTTCAATTTTATTTAGATTTAATATTAATGAAATGAATCTCGAAAATAGCAATTTTTCCTGTCAAATAAATTTCCACGCTCTGAATGACACGTTTTTTTTTCCCTGAGATGCATTTTTCAAGTTTAATTTATGCTGGTAACTATGAATTCAATTCAAATAGAAATGATTATTAAATCATACCTATGAGTTTACCATATCTGTCAAAACGCACGCGGCCTTTTTCAAATACATAAATTGCTACGCAACCTCAAATGCATGTATCCCCGTTAAAAGCAATATCATAATTGTAATCAGACAATATCCCTTACATATTAACTCGAAAACAATCTCATTACAACTCACATATACAACCAGGAGCTTGTCAGAAGTTTGTTAAGTGGATCTCTTTGACTGGTCAATGAATCAAGGAAATTCCGGTAACTTTAACTCGACTATAATACAAGACAATTTCAACGGAACCCGTGTAGTGGTTAGAGCGCTCGAACTGCTAATCAGAGGGTCCAGGGATCGATTATGTTGGAGCACATCATGATTTTTTTTTTTTCATTTTTTTTTTTTTTTTTTTTTTTTTTGTTGTTTTTCTATTCTTTTTTTCAACCCAAATGACACGGAAACACTTAAAAAGCTGGAAAGACCTCTTATTGTTCTTTGAACAATAAGTCTCCTAGTTTCTTTAGAAGTTTTTGATTTTGTACCAGAGTTTTCTCCCTTTACACAGTTTCCTATTATACCTGAGTTTGGTAGGATCATTCTCCTTATGAAGTACACAGGTCTTGTTTCCTATAGTAATCCTGTAACTGTTTTATACAATTCTCCTTATGAAGGACACAGGTTTTGTTTCCTATAGTAATCCTGTAACTGTTTTATACAATACCTGAGTTTGGTAGGATCATTCTCCTTATGAAGGACACAGGTCTTGTTTCCTATAGTAATCCTGTAACTGTTTTATACAATACCTGAGTTTGGTAGGATCATTCTCCTTATGAAGGACACAGGTCTTGTTTCCTATAGTAGTAATCCTGTAACTGTTTTATACAATACCTGAGTTTGGTAGGATCATTCTCCTTATGAAGTACACAGGTCTTGTTTCCTATAGTAATCCTGTAACTGTTTTATACAATACCTGAGTTTGGTAGGATCATTCTCCTTATGAAAGACACAGGTCTTGTTTCCTAAAGTAATCCTGTAGCTGTTTAATACAATTCCTGAGTTTGGTAGGATCATTCTTATGAAGGACACAGGTTTGGTTTCCTATAGTAATCCTGTAACTGTTTTATACAATACCTGAGTTTGGTAGGATCATTCTCCTTATGAAGGACACAGGTCTTGTTTCCTATAGTAATCCTGTAACTGTTTTATACAATACCTGAGTTTGGTAGGATCATTCTCCTTATGAAGGACACAGGTCTTGTTTCCTATACATGTAGTAATCCTGTAACTGTTTTATACAATACCTGAGTTTGGTAGGATCATTCTCCTTATGAAGGACACAGGTCTTGTTTCCTATAGTAATACTGTAACTGTTTTATACAATACCTGAGTTTGGTAGAATCATTCTCCTTATGAAGGACACAGGTCTTGTTTCCTAATAGTAATCCTGTAACTGTTTTATACAATACCTGAGTTTGGTAGGGTCATTCTTCTTATGAAGGACACAGGTCTTGTTTCCTATAGTAATCCTGTAGCTGTTTTATACAATACCTGAGTTTGGTAGGATCATTCTCCTTATGAAGTACACAAGTTTTGTTTCCTATCGTAATCATGTAACTGTGTTATACAATACCTGAGTTTGGTAGGATCATTCTCCTTATGAAGTACACAGGTCTTGTTTCCTATAGTAATCCTGTAGCTGTTTTATACAATTCCTGAGTTTGGTTGGATCATTCTCCTTATGTAGTACACAGGTCTTGTTTCCTATAGTAATCTTGTAGCTGTTTTATACAATACCTGAGTTTGGTAGGATCATTCTCCTTATGAAGTACACAGGTCTTGTTTCCTATAGTAATCCTGTAGCTGTTTTATACAATACCTGAGTTTGGTAGGATCATTCTCCTTATGAAGTACACAGGTTTTGTTTCCTATCGTTATCCTGTAGCTGCTTACTTGGTCCTTCATGTAAGTAGTGAAGCTGGCTCCATCAAACGAAATTAACAAACCTCCATCACTTAGTCTGTAAACAAAATTAAGTATTGTAAATCAACTTTTATTTGTGTGCGAGAAATTTTCACTAGGTTTGCGAAAGCCTCATCATTAAGAATTTTTCTCACCATGAACTGGACCTTAAAGTCTCTTTGTCTATTAACAATAGATAAAACAAGAAATCTGTGAGCCAAAGCTCACTAGCAATACCCCCGCTCTGATGTAAATAAGCACTATCATGTTAAAATACACAAGTTCAATTACAGGCAGATGCACAGAAAAATATGAAGTTGACATCAGATTCATATCAAAATAAATACCACCATATGGTATACCTCAACAAAGAGTGTAATAAGATTTCAAGCATCCGCTATAAATAGCTAATGAGAAAACTGCGACAAAGATTTGTAATGTATGAAACGGACAGACGCACAGGCAAACAGGATATTAATATCCGAGATGAGCAAAAATATATCCCACCATATGGCATGCCTCATAGAAGATTGTGTTAAAATTTCAAGCATCTATGATGAGTAGTTGCTGAGAAAACTGCGACGAAAATTTGTTATGTATGAAATGGACAGACGCACAGACAAACAGGAAGTTGACATCAGATTTATAAATAAATGTATCCAACCATATGGCATGCCTCAGAGAAGATTGTGTTAAAATTTCAAGCATCTACGTTGAGTAGTTGCTGAGAAAACTTCGACAAAAATTTTTTATGTATGAAATGGACAGATGCACAGACAAACAGGAAGTTGAAATGGGATTTGAACAAAAATGTATCCCACCATATGGTGTGCCTCAGAGAAGATTGTGTTAAAACTTCAAGCATCTACGTTCAGTCGTTGCTGAGAAAACTTCGACCAAAATTTGTTATGTGTGAAATGGACAGACGCACAGACAAACAGGAAGTTGACATCATGACATGGGATTTGAACAAAAATGTATCCCACCATATGGCATGCGTCAGAGAAGATTGTGTTAAAATTTCAAGCATCTACGTTTAGTAGTTGCTGAGAAAACTTCGACGAAAATTTGTTATGTGTGAAATGGACAGACGCACACACAAACAGGAAGTTGACATGGGATTTGAACGAAAATGTATCCCACCATATGGCATGCATCAGAGAAGATTGTGTTAAAATTTCAAGCATCTGCGATGAGTAGTTGCTGAGAAAACTGCAACGAAAATTTGTTTCGGACGGACACACAGCTAGACAGACAGACAGACGGACAGACACACAAGGGTAAAACAGTATACCTCCTGCTCCGAAGACTTGATTGCAAAAATTTATCATTGAAAACTAGTTTACCCACAGTTAATTGCAATATAAAGTTGCTGCAAGTTAAAATTGGTTTACAGTTACTGTATTAAATATTCTACAATTGAAAGTTTCTGTAACTTTCATATTTTTTCCCTTAAATACAGATTCTTTATCATTTATTTCAATGCTTGAGATATCACACATTTACAATCTGAATAACCAAACTGCTCTCTTGAAATCACCTGTGTGCCTCCACTTCCAGCATGGAGTCATTCATACAAATAAAGTAGTTGTTTGGCCCTGTCTTCACCACCTAGAAAAAATAAACAACAAAAATGGAATTCATAAGTATTTAATAACAAGAGGTCCATGGGCCACATCGCTCACCTGAGAAGCTTTGACCATGCTGTTCTTTAGTAGATTTGCCCTTTGTAAAAAATTTTGTGACCCCAACCTACCCCACTGATCATAATGTACTCAATTTGAAATCTACACTCTCCCAGAACGCTTCCATTTAAGTTTCAGCTTTTCCGGCCCAGTGGATCTTGAGAAGAAGATTTTTAAAGATTTTTCCTATATATTTCTATGTAAAACCTTGATTCCCCTGTGGCCCCGCCCTACACCTCGGGGGTCATGATTTGAGCTATTTATATAGATTCTACACTATCCCAGAATGCTTCCGCATAAGTTTCAGCTTTTCTGGCCCAGTGGTTCTTGAGAAGAAGATTTTTAAAGATTTTTCCTACATAGTTCTGTGTAAAAATTGATTCTCCATAGTGACCCTACCCCGGGGGTCATAATTTGAACAATTTAGAATCTACACTACCCCAGGATGATTTCACATAAGTTCCAGTTTTTCAGGCCCAGTGGTTCTTGAGAAGAAGATTTTTAAATGACCCCACCCTATTTTTGTTTTTTTTTTATTATCTCCCCTTGTGAGGGGACTTGGCCCAATGGCATCATTTTAACCATTTATATTCCCTTCACCCATGGATGCTTTGTACCAAGTTTGGTCAAAATTGGCCCAGTGGTTCTTGAGAAGTCTAAAATGTGCGAAGTTTACAGACAGACGGACAGCTAGACAGACGGATGGACAGACGGACAAAATGCGATTAGAAAGCTCACTTGAGCTTCGGCTCAGGTGAGCTAAAAAAAAGTTGTCAAAAGCATTATTTTTCACACTTACTGAACAGTGTTGAATTCTGATCAGAATTTATTTGATGTACAATTTATTTTCTATTGTACAGTATTCAAATTGATAAAAGTACAACCTAACATTCACAAAGAACTTTATTTGGTAATAACCAATATTTGCCCCCCAAATCAAACTTTGATGGAGATATATTTAATTAAGTTCTTAAACAGGGGAGAATATGCTGACTTCAAAGCACTGAATTTTGAATATTTTCATAATTAATGACGCCATATGTACATAATGACGTCACAAACATGACATAAATTTCATTTTTTTATGAATTTTACAGAAAAATGTACATATTTTGTCGATATTTTGAGTAAATGTCACCAAGCGCATGTGTGTTCAGGATCAATATTTTAATATAATGTGTATAATGATAATATCAATGAAATATGTCAATATTGTTCCTGAACAAACTTGCGCTCTATAAATTTTAAAGCTAAAATTGTTGAAATTTTGTCCATTTTGTCCTCTTTCTGAAAAAGGATATAGAATCGGACTAGTTTGTGACATCATAAAATCAAAAATTGTGAATACACTGCTTTGACACTATAATATTTTCTGTTAATTCATATTTCTCATACAATTTATTGAATTCAGCACATTTCAGGAAGTTTTCAAAATATGACTTTTGTGGGGGCAAATACATGTATATGTAATATACCGCATATAGTTCTTTCTCATTAAAGCCCGAGATAATAAGCACCGCCCTCAGATTTACCTGGTCTGTATCTCCCCGTCAATCAAATAATTTAAGGTCCATCATTGGGTACTTGAAATTGATTGACATTTAGCTACTTGTCCCTGTGTATATCTCTTTTGACCTTGTTTGACACGCGTCGCCATCATCAAATTAACTTTCGGTCTTCTAATGTTTACCGCTAAATCACAATCGTAAACAATTTCAGCTTGATTATAATTAATCAATTATCTGTTTTACAAACATCTCTGTGAGTCATTGTATTTCAATTAAGGGGGGACCTATGTCCGAAAAGTCTTTGTGTGAAATTTTCAAAACTTTGACATTTCTTTTCTGACCACTTGATCTTAATTTTTAGGTATTAAAAACAATACCTTTATATGCTTATTTTTACACAGGAGCATGTGCAAAAACAGTGTGAAATGCTAAAAATAGATTATTTCCAGAAGTTATTGTTCTACTCTAAATATACGCTAAAAAGAACCAAAAATGTCAAACCACATTCGAAATCAACCTGTATTTAATTTATATGACTTGTATCTTTAAAATGAAGGCAAATTCATTGTAATTCATCTCGCATAAAAAATTATACAGGAGCACAATGTAAGTTTCACCCCGTTTTTCTTGTCGTAATTTTTACAATTCCGACATGTATAACAGGTAATATCTTAAAAAGTCTTTGTGTGAAAATGTGGTAATTCATATTTTTTTAAGAAATGACCCCTTTCTTTATTTTAACGAGGAAAAAAGTATACCTTTATGATAAAATAAACGCGAAATATAACCTTTTCTGTTATTTTCGCACTCTTTGGTCATAAATAATGACCTTACTGCACTAAAAAAAAGGTAAGTTAGCATTGACAAACTTCTAAATATAAAACTATTTTGCAAAAAACGAGTATTTTGTTTTGATAAGAAATAATTTAAACATATATACTCTTTTTTTCTTCATTCTTATCATTCTGCCCCCCCCCCCCCCTCTCCGTCAACAACCAACACCTAATAGGAATGACTTTATACAATAAAATCTACATACACTAAAAATCAATAAGTAAAAATAGGTACAAGTACATTTCCTTTTTTTTTAGTTTTATCCAGAAAATACAATTAATGGTAATCATGAAATTTAACATATCTCCCTAATTTAAGCCGCTGTCTTTGCTGAATTTTATCTTACATTTTTTGCATTTTTATATCAGCATATCATAGAGGTATTTCTTCACAACAGAAATTTTTATGAATTTTCAACCAAAGGAAGAGAAATCTGATATTAACAAACTCCATACATGAAATAAAACTGTTTTAAATGATGAAAAAAAATCTTTTTGTACAATGTGTGCGTTTTTGATTAATAACAATGTTACGCCTATAATCACAGTTGCAAAAGTCAGCGGGAAAAAACAAACGTCGCTATTGTGACGTCATATAACGCTGCTTTGACGTCGAACGACATAGGTCCCTCCTTAAATAAATCAAGATTGTGTATATTTTTATTAATGAAAATTGCAAAGGTGAATGAAAACTTGTTTTCACTTGTAAAAATTAAGAATGATTCTTGTTTTCAAACGCAGCGAAAAATTACGATGAAAATTAAGGAGAAACTAAGCTGATAACACTTTTTGCATGTAATGATTAATTAAGGATGAAAACAAAATATCTGATAAGAAACAACCTTATCTGGTCAAGAATTAAAGTATTAAGATTCGTGGGTTGCATTTTTACCTTCGTTCGAGGTCACAGGTGTAAAAAATAGTTTTGAAAGAAATGCATATGAAAGCAAGAATTTAATATTTTGTTTACAGTTTTTTTTATTATAACCTAAATTAACTTAAAATACACACATACTAGTATGAAATTTAACTTTACAAAACCATCGTTATCGTGATTTTTTCACAATAGGTTACAGAATGTACAATTGCTTAAAATTGGACCACGCGACTTTTGATACACAGTAAACAACAAGTAACTGTTACTAATTGACATGATTCCATAATGATTATTTTTTTCTACAAAGAACCCAAGTCGTTGTTGTTGTACATGTGACGTACAACATACAGTAGATTTTTACAAAAGTCGGTCTGCGAGATATCTTCTTGTCTGATATGAAATATAAGTCTGAAATTACAAAATTTTACAATTATCATTAACTACTATTGATATTTTTTTTATTTACGATGTCAAATTCTCCTAATTTTATAATGAACAGTAGACCATCAAGCTGTACAGGTACATTGTAATACACAAGGACTTCCTGTGTATACTGTTTGTGTATAGGGATTAGCGCTTCCCACGGTCTGCACGACCGTCAATGCCTCGGGGTACCATGCAAGTAAAATTTAGTCCCTCCCCTTACCTGAGAAAACCGTACGGTTAAAAATCTCGGCCTTTAACTGAAAATCAAACTTAGTATAAATATTCAAACAAGTCCTTCCCTTGACCTTACCATTACATTATAATTGTTCCCTTTGCTTACAACATTACATTCAGGAAATCTAAATTTCTCATTCACAGAAAATCAAACTTGGTAATAATGCTCAAACAAGTCCTGTCCTTGACCTTACCTTGACGTTATACTTGATCCCCTCACTGATGAACTCCACGTCCACGTGGTTTTTGAGCGACGTAGCCGGCAGGATCTGTCCGCGCTCCAGTGAGGTCTGGAACATCTGGAAGCACTCCTGGATCTGGTGGTCCCCAATATGGAGCGCTCCGGATATCACGCCCAGCATGACGTCTGGCTTCTCAGCCTGGACGTTCTCAGATATCAACTTGTCCAGCCAGCCCGTCGTTATCTTGTTGTTCTGGTATTCCTCGGTCTCGAAGAGTTTGATGAGGTATTCTACCGTGGTTCTGAAGTCTCCACGGATTGAGAGCTCCTTCAGCGCCACCACCAAATTCCTGTAATTTGTTAAAAATGAAGTTAAAGAAATGCTTCCTTCCTAACATTTTCTATTTAATAAGCTTACTATTTATTAGCCTTGTAAATCATTAAATCTTCCTAATAAAGAATTTCTCATATATTTCAGATAGAAAAAGTTAAATCAATGGAGAAAATAAATTCAAAATTCAGGGATAATATTTTGACTCTGATAAAGCAAGTATCTAACTCAGAACAAATAATACAATCAATTTGAAAATTTTTTTGTTACAAGATAATTACATAATATCAGACAATATCCTGAATCCCACTACCCCCTCCCAATTAGTAGCCCTAACCTTTCCCCCTCCCTAGATATTGCTTGACATAACAATAAATGCAATCAATTTCAAAATATTTGTTACAAAATATTGTGATATCAAGCAATATCTGGAATTCCCTAGTCCCTCTTCTTCAATTTCCCTTACCCCCATCCCTATAAATACTCACTCTCTGGCGTCCTCCCTGTTCTCTCCCCAGGAGAAGCAGTGTCCAAACTGAGAGTCAGCGTACTCATGTAGTCCCCCCGTGGCAGACACACTGAAGTACCCCCACACGTTCTTACTGCTGCGGAAATTCAACTCCTGGACAGTCCCAGAACTAGGCTTAAATCCCTGCAAAAGGAGAATTTTAATATGGTATATGATTATTGTACTGTATATAATATAAATTATTAAGTTCATGATAAGGGATTCTACAATGATGAAAAGGAATATTTATCCTGGCCATCAAACCAAAATGTATTGTAGCACAAAGAAGGGAATTAACATTAAGTTTACTCTTTAAGGGAAACAACTCAATTTTCTGATGAATGGATTGAGTTTTCCTTCTCATTTTGCTGCAACAAATTTTGATGTCTTTTTACAGAATCTTACTTCGTCAGGGTTTTCGCTGGTGATTCTGGCTGCTATGACATGGCCCCGGGGTCGGGGGTGTATGGAGGGGTTAGAGAAATCAATAGGACTGTCCCCCCACGTATCCACTTCATACAGCTGTCTGATGTCCTTCAACCGGTACAGCGGCAGACCCATAGCAATCTGTAATACACAAAATATACACTTATAAATATGGTATTATGCAACTTTATTTATGCAACGACTGCAAATAACATTTTCTTTTTCATCAATAAGTGTCTGGATAAAAATTGCCAAAGTTCCACTAAGTCTTCTAAAATTCATGTGAACTATTAAATGAAAATTCCGAAACCTTATTGCATATCTAACTAATCAAAGTACAGAAAGCACTCATGGGAGTTGAACATGGTGTTAAATATAATCTTTGATCGGGAGGTTAAGTGAGTGAACAATATTATTATTTCAAATACAGACAACTGTTTCCGATTTTTTGAGTTGCAACAATCTTGAGAAAGACATTCAGAGACATTGAATAGCAAAAAAAAATGCAGGGGCCATAATGCTTGCCTGCCTACATTAGTCCTTTTCTATACCCCCTGCTTGAAAAGCAGGAGGGTATATATTACTGTAAAATCACATATTTTCGTGGGGTCAAAATTTCGTGGTTTGAGGAAAAAATGTTGGTTCGTGGGGATTTAATTTCGTGGATTAAAAATTTTTTAGTAGTTGTGCACATGAGAATTTACATTTCGTGGTTGATATAAATTCGTTGGTCTCTTCATAGCATGAAAACAACGAAAATTAAACCCCCACAAAAATTAGTGATTTCACAGTAATCGGGATTTCCGTCTATCTGTTTGTTACGCTTTAGGTATACCCATCTCTTATCCGCAACTCTTATAATACCACTGAACGAAAGTTTCATAGAATCTTTAATACATACTGCCGTTGTGCACCTTCTATTACTTTTCATTCTACACATATTTTGGGTTTCCCATTGCCAAACATTGACACTGCCATTATATTTATATTAGAGGCGGTTGATAATTTATATAATTCACTGCTCACAGTCTTCAAATATGTAATTATTTAAAAAATATATACTTCATTTTGTTGTTTTTAAAAATTGATTTTACGAAAACATCAGTGTCCTTTTTTGGTTTTTAACTTTTATAACAGAGAACAAGATTTACCGCTTTTGGCAGGTGATACTGCTGATTTAGTAATAAATACGTATGTTTCCTAAAGTTTTTATGCATAAATGAATTCATTTAAACCAAGGAAATGTTCATGAAAAGTTTGAATAAATTCTGAGAACCGATAGGAAAGAAATTGCTAAAAATCTGGGACCGTCGGGCGTTGGGACGACTAGATTTACCGCTTGCCGTTAGTATGTAGCTTTGTCGATCGTATCTTTTTCAGTGTTTGACGCCACATAAAAAATGAGTTCCATTACGAAAAACTTTAGAGGTTTTTTTATAATTTAGTTTTACTTTGAACGAAATCTAATATTCAAAGTAAGATTACGTTATCATTATTACATCTAATTACATTTCAATATATGAAAATTAGATCAATTCAGGAGAAAATGACATGAACTATTTGTGGCGGATGTTTATGTATGTTTTCTGTTGAATATCATCGGAGAAAATCAGCTGACACAGTAGCCTCGCTTTCGGCTCTATATAATCAACACAAATTAATGCGCATGTTAAATACGTGATGACCATGGGAGATTGAACATAGTTCAACTCCCAAAAATGATTAGGCTACTGTGTAAAATGTAAGAGGAGTTCAGGGAAGAAAAGTGACAGACCAATGAACGGACAGCTAGATGGACAGACAGACATGAGTAACAAGAACATACTGCAATTTCCTAAATATAGTTTGTGTCAGTTGGATATATATATATATATTGCAGCAATATAGTTTTGGTGCTTATAGACACTGAAAAATGTAAACATAAGGCATAATTTTCTTGAAGCGCTAGCACGCTTCATGAAATATGCCTAAGTGACAAGTCTGTGTGATTTTTCACACACCAATAATTCACACTAAATTTAAAAACATTCCTTAAATATATACATAGACTTATATTAACAATGGGTGATGTCATGGAAGTTTTTTAATGGAGGTATAAAGAATGTTTGCGAGCGCTGGCAAACGTTCGCTCTGTTAAACAGGCCTCAGGTATGGGTATTTAAATATATATTTATCTCTATTTTAACCAGGAAGTAAATACAGATCTTGTTCAAGTCTCGACTGAAATCTCATTGACAATCCAAAGTCTAGCTGTCAACAATGTCGTTTGTCGGTCATTCATAAAAGCTGTAAGTACATGTATAATAAAGGTCATTTAATCTCATTTAAATCAACTTTTAAATTTTATATGAATGATGGAATAAAAACCAAGAAAAAATTTATTTAGCAAATTGAATGAATAATTATATCACTTTTGACATGTTTACAAATAATATCTGTTTTTCCCCAATTCTAAAACAAATATAGATTAGAACATATGTATACTAACAACATACAATCCTATTTTTTCAGATGGCGTTTTCTAAAATTGATATTCCCCGCTGGGCCCAGCACTTTTTAGAGTGTGGCATTGAAGACTGTGAAAGAAACTGCGAGTTCTACTGCAACCCTTGTCATCAAAGATTGTGTAAACAATGCAGCGAGGAACATCTGAAAAGTCCAGAAAACAAGAACCATGAGGTGGTCCTTTACCAGCAACGTAAACAACAACTTCCTGTGGAAAAATGCAAGATCTACCCCACTAAAGATGTGGACATGCTCTGTGAAGAATGCCAGGTTCCACTATGTTCTAAATGTGCTACGATGGGAGACCACGAAAGGCATAAATTTGTTGATCTTGAAGCAGTCTACGCAGAAAAATTTGCACTCTTCCAACAGGAAATTTCCAAAATTCACGAGTATTTTCTCCCCACATCACAAGATTTACAGAAAGAAATTAAAAAAGATTCCTCAGAAATCAAACACATCATGGACAACATCAGAACATCCATGAAGACTGAAGGTGAGTCCCTGAAAAGTTTGGTGGACACAGTCATATCTGAGAACATGAAGCAGTTAGACCAGATAGAGCATTCACTGTTAGAAGATCTAATTTCCCAAGACAGGACCGTGGATGATTACATCACTTATCTTAATACCCTTGTGAAAGAGCTTCACAGATGCCTGTCCCCCACAGAGCCAAAGAAATTAATGTCTGAGAAGAAACCAAAGATCCAACCCATACCAGAGACAACAAAACCAGTCATACCAGGATTTACTGCTGGTCAATACAGCAATAGTGATGTCACCAAATTACTTGGAAAAATACATGTCCCCAACACTAAAGCAGAGAAGAGAGAAATAAGGCCCATTGAAAGTGTCTACAATACAGCAATGAATCCTATGAATAAACAGATGAAAGAAGACAGGAAGAAATCTGACGAGAAACAAACAATGTCTCTATCTGCCTCTGTCACCAAGGTCAGGGAGTTCAATGTACCAGGTGTTGATAATGTATACCATGTATCACTAGATCACCCAGACAGACTCTGGATCAGTGACAAAAAGGGTAATATTGTCCAAACAGATCTACAGGGGAATGTGATACAGAAGATAAAAACCAATGGTGGACTTGGTTACCACACGGTGACACAGGACAGGGATCTGATCTTTACAGACAGATACAAGAAAGTCATCAATAGGATAACACAGGATAATAATATCACTGAATTCATTAAAACTGGAAACTGGAGTCCACTCAGCATACACTCCTCCCACATCAATGGGGACTTACTGGTGGGGATGACGTGTAAAGTCACCAGGTACAACAAGACAGGAAAAGAACTACAGAACATACAGTGGGATAACAAAGGGCAGGGTCTGTATAATAATCACCATGCTACATAACAGAAAACATCAATGGAGATATCTGTACATCAGACCTTCTTAATAGGGCAGTAGTGGTGGTGAATAAATCAGGACAACACAGGTTCTCCTACACAGGTCAGGGGTCAGAGTTCGATCCCTTTGGAATTGTACTGATATCCTCGGTCACATCCTGGTGTGTGATTATAACAGTGAGACTGTTCACCTCCTTGATCAGGACGGTCAGTTCTTGTCTCTATTACTCACACAACAACAAGGGGTAGAGGATCCCCTTAGTGTGTGTGTGGATGATGAGAACAATCTCTATGTAGGACAATATAACACCAACACACTGACAGTGTACAAGTATCTACTAGAGGTGTAACAATACAGCAATACATCGATACGTATTATCGCAAGGTCTCATGATACGCATATCGTATCGCCATGTATGTATCGTGATACAGTACAAGTTAATGTTCTTTGTCTTATTTTAAAATTCTTTATCAACCGCGTTCAATGTTGCTATTCGAAAATTGTACGGCTGCTAGCAGAAATAAATATGTTGAAAACTCTTAGAACAAGTTGTAAAACAGTGAAATTAAGACCCCAAATCAAGATAATCTCTGAAAAGTCCAGGTGCACGGAACAAGTAAGATATTTCTATAGATGTTGTCATGTGTAATTTGCAGAATAGCCCTTTAATAATTTAGAATTAGTAAAATTTCCGAAGCCTGTACCAAATCTCAAGTCAATAAATACCCAGTTTTTATGCTTTTTTAAATCATCTATTATTCAGATTGTGGGTATTTTGGTATTTAAAGATGCGTCAATCTATAATAATACTTAGAAATAATTTTTAAAAATTGAAAAGTGAATATTAAAAGAGATTTTGGATAAAAACACGATTTTTTAAAGTTACGGTTGCTATCAGGGTCTTAGCAAATATTGCACCGGTTAATAACTGAAAACATTGCACCGGCTGCTATTTGAAAATTTTCCTTATAACCAGATATATGAAACAAACTTATGGCAGCAAATGTCTATAAATCTACATTTTTAATATCCCAAATTGCCTGTGAAATAAGATGTCTATATACAGTATGCAGTTGACTTTTACCATCTTAACTCAGGGGTGTAACTTCGATTTTGAAAAGGGGGGGGTAGAAAAATTCAAATCTATTTTTAAAAAGGCTGACACGGAAAAAAGGAAAATTGTCAAACTTCTTTCAGTAACATTTTTTCTCACGCGCAACCGCCTACCCCTGTTTGACTATGCTGCAATAAAAAAA